CAACAAAACAGTAGTCTGCAATCCTGGTTAGATGTAGAACATACTGTATCAACTAATATTAGAGTTGTAGATAGACAGATACTCAAACATTAAATGACATGCATATTTTAGGAGCATAAACATAAATCATCTCTTTTTTTTCCCAGCTTGGTGAGTTTCTTAAAATTACAGGATCCACACTAAGTCCATGTAGTTGTACACACATCTTTACCAACCCTGATATCCTGGGGAAAAAACATATAAATATGATAAGCTTCCCTGATTGGATTAGTAGAAGAGTCAATTTCCTGGAACATTTATTTGAAGAAAATATCTTTATCCCATTCAGCAGCTTCATTTCACAGTATATGATTCCAAAAAAAGATTCTTAGAATATCAACAGATTAATAAAAAAAAAAAAACAGATTCAAGCTTAATGAGGTTGTTTTGCAAATGCCGCCAAGTTTTTTTTTTCGAAATCTCCAAAAATATTGAGGAGATTATCCAAAATAGATAAATAAATATCCATCCCCATTGTACAGAATGCTATAGTAGTTAGCTTTGATCCAAACTGCCGGCCTCTGATTTGTTCAAGAAATGTAAAATGAATGGAGAACCTATTTACAGCTAATACAATACTCACATGTAGGACTTTGGGGAGGGGTTCCTCACCGCAGTGGGACTCCCTATGCTGGTTGTTGCCTCTGGGTGTTGGGAGATTACCATGGGCCTCAAACTCAAATCCTTGAGGGCCAATGTCCTGCAACTTTTAGATGTGTCTCAGCTTCAAAAACACCTGACTCCTTCATGTGGTCATTAGTAGAGCTTACCATTGACACACAAACACCTACAGCTTTGTTTTCATGACATATGGGGAACTTTCATTGACTTGCATTCATTTTATATGGCCTAATTCAGACACGTACCCTAACCCTAACTATTACCAATATATGCCTACAGTAACCCTAACCTAAACTGAATTCACGCCTTATTCCTAAACCTAACCCCTTATCAAAGAAAATAACTTTTTCGTATGGGGACCAGTTGAATATCCCCATTAGTATCTGTAAGTCCCTGCATGTACGGTATTTTGCAAAACACTTCCTCCACATTGTCGGTAAAACAACTACACAAACAGACATTCAAATTTAGAACAAATTAAGCCTAGTGTCACAATGTCTTTGTGTGCCTTTATTTTTTAAGTTAACGCACAATCAAGGACAGACCTGATGAACTCTCTGCTCTGGCTAAATAATCTAAATTATCTACAATACCAAATATGAAACCAAATTTTATATTTTGCTAGATTTACTATTGAGATTGCGAATGTTCTTAATATTTTTTAATTTGAGATGTGATATTTGCCAGAATGACTACACACTTAAAAACTCCCCTCATTCCTTTGCAACTGAAACTGGTTCTTTGTCTATTGTACATTGATACAATGTGTATTGTTGCCGACAGAATCAGATTTCTACCCAAACAGGTGTGTGCACGCCTGTGGATGTCACCAAGATATTAAACAGAAAGAGAGAGCCTGCTGTTCTAGTGTTTTTGGGACAGCACAGGTGAATACAGGAATGTCGTTCAGTGGGTGTGTTAGCCTGTGGATGTGAACTCTCTTTGCCAGCAGCACTGTGGCTTCCCTCCTGCTGCTATCAAGCTATTTACCTGCATTTCTGCCAGAAGGGATATGAACTAATGCCAATACACACACACAGATATGTATTTGAAAAAGAAAATGACTGTTTCACTACAGCTGCATACCAGTAAAATGAAGCAATATTTTTAACATCTGTGTGTTTCTTTTTGTTTATGTATCTAATGTGAGACACTGTGCTTTATGAGGGTGTGGGTATGTGAGGTGAAATCCATAAATCGTTCATTTTTAAACAGCAACAAAACAACTAAATTATGCAAGCTTTTTGTGCAATCACAAGACCAGAAACAGAAATAGCAGACATGTCTTACAAAACAGACTTTGTTTTTTACTGAGGCAAATGTTCTATACTTCATTTGTTTTAGCTTTATGGAAGGTAAAGCTAGACTCGGTAGAGATAATGACATATGCTGATTTTTTTGTTCTTTTGTGGAGACATACTGTATAAAAAATAACTTTCAGGTAAGCACACACAATCACCCACAGATATTCAGAAACACAGCACTAGCTGGAATTTGAAATAGAATAATTTTTATTTTTAATTCATAACTTCCTATCCAAATATGGTGAGGTATAAATCTAATATTAGATGAAACCAAAAACATGCATTTTTCAATTAACTCCGGTTGGATTTCTTTTAGCTCCTATCTTTCCTGATGTTGTACTGTAATATATATTTGTCTTCTGTTATTTCACCTTACTGTCTACCTCACTTTATTCATGCCCACTAATTATTACAGCACTTTAATGTTTAACATATAGATTAAAAACACTGCTAACCAGAATTTGATTTCAACCAGGCCTCGATGCTGTAGTCATAATTCTGTAAATGTTCAAGGTTACGTAAACTTTATTATCCCCAAGGGTGAATTTGTTGTGGAGTAAATGGCATGGATAAAATATATTTTTTTCACTTAAACTATGACATTTTTTTATTGATGGTAAAAGAGAAGTATGCCCACAGATAGATAGGATCAGCCAAAAATGATTCTAGCCTTGTTTAAGGACCTTGAATCATGAAGGTCTTTTAGGTCATTCAGAAATATGCCAGCAATTTTACTACAAACCTTGACAATACTAAGCAGGAGATTCCAATTTTTGGTGTAAAGTAAATCATGCCAGCAAAGAAAAGCAAAAGTAAGAACAGATTCAATAAACCATCATCAAAACAGACCTGGCTTAAAAAGTGTTTATGGTAGAAATGCATGCGCTGGTCTATTAACACCACAGTCTACCTGCGGCTCAAAACTCCATTTATCACTACTGAAAATCAGTTGAGAGATTTCCCCAGTCTATTTATTTATTTGGTTTTATTTATATCTTAAAAAGATTCCTCACAACATTTTTTTTAAATTATAACAGCCAGCCATGTTCAGAGACTTCTCTAAGAACTGACAGAATAATTCAGAAATGTAATAATGTGCCGTCCACTTTGATGGCTCTGGCAGTCATTTTTGAATAACGCAAATAAAAGAAGAGAGAGGTCACAGCCCTGGGGAGATTCTGTAGAAGAAAAGAAGCTCAGATAAAACGCCATTTAGTCTCCCCTCTGTTAAAAAAGCATAAGCCAAGAAATAGAAGCCCTTTCTGTCATGATTCTGCCCTTTGTGGACTTTTTCTTCTGTTGAAGTTTCCTTTTGAGTTTTTAGTTACACTTTGATTTATGTAATTCCATGTCCTCTCCCCAAGCTCCCTTCTAGTTGCTTCTATCTACACCTGCTCCCTATCAGCTGATTCGCTCATTCTTTGTTCTGTCTCCCATATATACACACCTCCTGTGAAGTTCATCATTGCTTGATTCTTTTCATTGCTTCGGTCATCATGTTTGTTTCTCCCTGGTGTCTCCTGGTTTTGGTTTCCTGTTTAGTGTTCCTGGATTTATGCTTCTGTTGCCATTTGCATCTAAATTAAATCTGCAAGAACTCATCTCTACCTCATCGTATCTGCGTTTGTGTCCTCAACTAGCTTCCAACAAACCTGACACAAAGCAGTTATTTAACTTATGTGCTAAAAGATGATGTTGGATGCAAAGAAGACAAGTCATCAAAAAGTCTGACCAGGGATATATTTTTTTTCAAGATAAAAAAAAAAAAAAAACAAGCTTAAAAGTGTCTATAGTGCATCCTCAACATCTCTTTTCGACCCATAAGAAAACTGGAGTGTGACTAGTTTATCATGTATCACGTCCAACAACATGCCTTTTAGAATTTTCTCAAAAACCTTCATAACAAGAGATGACAGTGTCACTGGTCATATAAATGGAAATCACAGACTAGGTCACAACCAGTACTTATACTGTAAAGCACCACTGCAAATATAGATAATTAACAACATATTCAATTCTACTTTTTTATTTTCTTGCAATTAATTGTGCCATACAAATAAACTTGCCTTGTCTTGCCTTAAGGGGAAAAAAACAACCTAATTTTAGTTTTAGTGCAGGATAAATATATCAGTGGAAAGTTAAAGTCAGTGAAGCTCTGAAGGACGCCAATGGTTGCTCCTTGATAAGATTATATACAGTTTAATGTGATACATCTCTTACCTCTTCATGTTTTCACATCCACTCAGGTGATGATTCTTCAAGTGGTCGTATTCCAGAAACAAAAGAGATGGCTTCTCCCTCTCTTCGCCCAGTTTCTCCAGTTCAACATTCACCTCCAAAGGTAAAGTTAGATCTAGACTAGATTTTGAAATTCACTCTTGCATTTTAGACTATGTTTATCCCTAAATGTTTTAAAAAAAGACATTCATCCTGCTTTGAAAATTTTCTTACATCATATGAATAAGATCTGTGCCTTTTACAGCGTTAGTTGAAATAGTTGGAACTATCACTGCTGACTAAATGTCATGTCATTTCTGGCTTCTTTAATTCACCCAACATGTCTGTAACAGATCATTTTGTAACGTTAATCACAGTGCTTGTTTTCAACTGTACCACTAAGGATTTTCACAATAAAAAGAAAGAAAAAGTGTGATAGAAAAAGGTGAACAAGCAACAAGGAGGACCAGCTTTAAGAAGATTGTGAAGCAAAGTCTGTAAGCCACTTCCAGACCATAGAAAGTGCCTGAGTTGTCTTGTTTTAGTCAGAATGCTGTGACAGTGGAGAGGAAACACTGAAGTTTAAATCATGACACAGAATAAAAGACGGAGACAGAGAGTACAGGCGCTGTTGTTGCTAGTCATAACACAGTTAAAGTGTAGTTACAGCGTGAGAATATGTGGAGCTTTAAATGGCACTAAGCAACGCTGCAGTTGAAGTTGCTCATATTAATACAACTAGTTATAGAATAAGTTATAGAATAAATAAATGCTTCCTGCAAATACCGGCATTAATTCAGCTTTTTACACAGGCAGGCATGCTCCGTTTAAGTAAGATTTGCTAATGATTTAATCATTTAAAATTTATTATACCGTATATATCATACAGAGTAATTGTTATAAAAACACTTTGGTGAACTTTAAAACTATATTTTACTAGATGGTTCAAAATAACAGCTTATGAGATATATGTTTTGCTATTTAGAATCAGTCAAATTAGTTATATTTGTTCAATTAATATTTAAAACATGGGTATTGACCACTTAGGGCAATAATTATGGCATTTATTTATTTAACTAAATATTTCAAAGCAATTTTCAATTAAAGCCACCGAGTAATATAAAGCAGTGGTTTTCAAACATGGGACTTACTTTTTCTGTGTTAGATGTATCTCTGCTTCAGCAGATTATTGCATTCCCTCCAGCAGCCGCCAAGGGCTGCTGAGGTCACCTGTTCATTAAGCCAGGGAAACACCTAAACATGCAGGACAATGAGTCCTCAAGAGCAATTTTGAAAAGCAGGGCTGTAGAGCTGTTACATTCATTTTTACATTTAACAAAAGGCATTAGGTGTATGATATAAAAGTATCGTGTCAGTATCACCAATACCAGTCTGTTTTTTACTCAGTATCAAGTCGTAAAGAAAGGGGCGGTTTGGAACACATTTGGGAATACGATTAAAGGGACAGAATCAGTTTTTTTTTTCGTACAAAACAATTTAACAAAAGGTTTAGTAGAGGATGTTTGTAAATTTTTGAAAAGACCTGCCTTCTCCACTTAAAAAAAAATGCACATGCACAATCCTGTACCCGCTGCCTAGAGGGAACGCCTATTTTACACATACAAGAGCATGCATGAGAGAACACGCATGAGCCCATTTCTCCTCATGCAGGGAAAATGGAGATGAGCACATAGGACGGCTTTACCTAAAAAGATCACCAGAATGATTGAAAATTAAGAGGACCACTTATTTTGATGATCCACCCGGAAAAAGAACATCCTTCAGTATACCTTTAAAGACAGTAGAGAATGTATCAAACTAGTCTGTTTATTTAAGATTTGAAATAATGTTTTTGCTGTCAGCACTCATAATCTCACTGCATAATCAGCTTAAAAGTTGAGAGCCATAGTCAAAGCACTTTATGCTTCATGCTACTAGTGTCACCTTTATGGTGATTTAGTTTTTTTTTTTTTAAGTTGCATTTAGATCAGGATTTTCTTTTGCCACAATGACTTATGTCAATGTAGCAGGAGTTCCAACAGGCTTTGGTTCTAATAACATTACTGTAAAAAATATATATTTTTTGATAACATTATGATATATTGAGAAAAGTCTGTAAAATATTATTTCACATTATTCTTCCATACTTCTTTCAGGTGGCAGTCCAATCCTCAGCCCACAGGACGACCTTTGAACTGTTGACTGTAGTGATTTCTTTGCTCCTAACGTGTTCATTGGAACCACTCTGACCACCAAGCGTAAGAGTAGTCGATGAACAGTCTGGGAAGGTTTAAGGACAGCCACATGCTGAAAGTTGCGTTGTTCTGAAGTTTAAAAGGTGCAGCTGAAATGTTCTGAATGTTTTTGCCATTGGTGGCCGACAGGATGGAACAAGCTGCTGATTTACCACAGCTGCTGGTGCAAAGACCCCCTTTTTTACTATTAGCTGTCACTGACCTACCTGTGTTTGTGTTGTAAGGTTATAGAATATTATAGAATATTCAGCATTACTCACATTTTTGAGAAGATGTAAATACAAGTATATATAAATTATATATTTATATTAAAAGATCCAGTAGGTAATAGCCTGGGTGTACATTGCGCTTATTGTTTTAAAAAAAAAAGGGTTAAACACTTCGATGGTGACAGATTTTTTTTTTTTTTTTTGATGGATTTATTATTTGTAAGAATTGGGTTAGAAAATTACTGAAAGGTTTGTTCCTAAAAGGAAAAAAAAAAAAAAAAAAGTTATCAGATACTTTTGCTACTTGTAGGGCTGTGCTCACTAGCCTTGCCTTGCAGGGCTTGCCTCCTAAAGAGTATTTTAGGATGGTGTGGTTGCAGAAGGCACAATTTCTGATATTTCTAAATATTGCTCTGCAGTGTTTGAAATTCTTAAACCACTGTGAAACATCTGCAGTAGTGTTCAGGTGGACTATTGACTTTGGTGACTGCTGAAGGTATCTGATTGGACTGAAATTTTGTTTAGGAGTGTTTCAGCATAATAGGCTTAATTGTAGAGCATGCCTCAAGATCTTATTCAAATGTTTTGAAAATCATATATCATTTTCCATTTACTTCACAACTGTGATCTATTTTGCATTATTGTATCCCAAATCATAATCAAATATGTTTATTTGCAAATGAAATGTAAGAACAAGCAGAAAAGTTTAAGTATTGGGAATACTTCTGAAATGCAAAGAAAGGATTTTGCAAGATACTTCAATTTGGTCAGATGAATGAAATAGCAAACTTTGTGTTGATTGATGTATCTTTCAAAACTCCAAAAGTCCATAGTTATTTTACTTTATACACTTTATTTAAGAAAGATTGTGACTGTCAGATGAGACAACCTGAGAACAAATACTGAGATCTAGAACAACAGACTATCGGAGTTATTAGCACTTTCCCATCATCCCTCAGAGTATATTGAGTATAAAAATATGTGTTCACAGAAAGGTTTGTTTAATGCTAGGGGACAATGAGGGTTCACCACTTTCATATTTGCAAGGCTATGATTTAATGTAGAAAGATTTATTTTCATATGAAGTGTTTTTAGGCTTATACAGCACTTTTATATTATAAATCAAATGAAATAAACATTTCTGGATCTAAGGTTTAATAAGTGGCAGTAAAACTAATTATTTTTGTAATCATATATTTTGTAATGTTAGTATATTATGACAGCTAAAAGGTCTAGCTGGTTAACTCGTATGCGTTTAAGGAACAGTGCTCGCATTAAATCTCACAGAAATTACCTGTTCTTTAGTAACAGCAGTTGTGTTCGAAATGTGTTATAAAGTGCACAAGTGTACTTGAAGATAGCTGACCTTTATCATAGAAAAATAAAAAAATAAAAACACTGAATGCACTACATCGTAGTGTAACTGTTTTTCTAGTTTAGTCCTTTTTTTTGTTGTTCTGCTGCTGTAAGCAGAACCCAGTGATTCAACCTGTTATCCCTCAGCGATGGTTTCTCTATTGTGTTTTTGAAAACCACCGTTCCAATGTAAACTACTCACCCAGAAGTGTTTCTTACTGCTGTACTAACTCTGTCCTGCTACCCTGTTTTTAATTTTTTTCAGTGTCCCTGATAATAAACAGTTTTTAAATACACACTGTATTTATGTCTTCTCTAAATTCTGTCAAAGACATTGTTGTCCGACCATTTGGGACTTAAAAACAAATATCAAGTCCAAAGCATGAACTCTAATTTCAGTTATTATTATTTACAGCATGGTACAAATCAACCTAGAGCTCGTGTGAGTAAAAAAAAAAAACTTAAGAAGAAATTAATGAAATTAGAAAGTCAAAGCCACAAAGAAGAGACTTTGAGCTTGAGCTCTGTCAAATCCTATTCATTTTTTAAGCATCTTGTTGCAACTTTTCAGGCATACCGTGTGGAGAAACCTTACATGTGCTAAGACTGCTTTGCTTTACAAAAAGGATATCTGGAAATGTTTCCCAAAGTAACTACTTAATTGACCATTACATCATTTTTGGATATTGCTTCACAGAAGACAGACTGTATCCCTAAATTACAAACCAGTGTATGAGCTTTATGAATTACTTTTTGTATGGGTGGAATTGTTAACAGGTTACAAGGATTTGAGAGTTGAAACTGCATCCCTGACTCCCAAGCGCATTAAGAGACATATAGCCCCAGCTGCTGCCCTTGGCAGAGAGCTATCAGGCACCTATGCACAGTAGCCATGCTCCCAACACAAGTACGATGGCAGCAAATCACATGGGCAGCAGCATTTATACACCCAATCCAGCTAGTCCACTCTGGGAACTTTCCAGGAGCTTCCCTAAAGAGGCCCCCTATCCACATTAGCTGGAGTCAGAAAAACCATATCGCCTGACTGAACAACCCCAGAACTTTCAAGGAGAAAGGACAGCTGCTCGGTCCCAGCTCAGTCCCTCCTTGCAGTGTGTTGCTACCCCTGAATCTTCCTCTAAAGCAAATGCAACCAACCAGAAATATACAACCCTGTAACATGGCCAAAGCCAACACACAATGCCTTTGCAGTGGCATGAAAAAAATGTCACATATTTTCATACACACTAAAAAATATGTAGAAAGGTATTATTGTTTAGGAAATCACACTGCATCTTACATAGATTTTTCAGCAGTTAAATTAGACTGTCTTTTCTATTTTGGACATGTAAATAATTATTTAAGTTCTACAACAAGGTGAGTCTTGAAACTGAGTTTAAAATCAAACAATTCAATTCCCTTTTCTAATATTTTACCAATTAACACATCATCTCAAGGTGAATTGTAGATTAAATTCAATTAGTCAGATGGTTGCACATTTTCTAAAACCAGCTGAATGCACCCAGTCATTTACATTTATTTTTTCTTAGGGTTTTATTGTCATTACACTGTCACAAGTACAGCACAACAAAATTCACTCTCTGCATTTAACCCATCCCCTTGGGGAGCAGTGGGCTGCCATTTGCGGGCCTGGGGAGCAGTGTGGGTTAAGGGTCTTGCTCAGAGAGCTAGAGTGGCAGTCTGTGGGAGTGGGTTTCGAACTCACAACCTTAGAATCCCAAGCTCTATGCCCTAACCACTAAAGAGCAAGCATGCATGCTGTGACAGTGGAGAGGAAAATAATATTGTGAGTGGTCTGTTGTCCAGGCCAACAAGAGGTTTAACAAAATATTACAGATATACACTAGCAACATAAAAAGCACAATTAAATAAATGTCGTCTATGTTAGAGAATGTATCAATAAACCAACTCCACTCCACATGCTACAAAAGAAAGCAGACTGAACCACTTTTCAAAGGGAGGAAAAGGAGAACATATAGCTAGAATAATATCATCAGCTGGGCTTATAGTATCCAGGATGGTATGACAATAAACGGGAACAGACCAGATGATGAGAAAAAGCAGAGAGAACATAAAGTTTGGGGTTTGATTAACAAATACTGCAGAATGGAAAAATAGAGTCAGAAGAATCCTGAAAGGTGGTCCCTATGTCCTCCAGCTGGCTAGGCCTAGAGCAACATAACTAATATGAGCCACTCTGACCATATGCTTGATCAAAAAAAGGAAAGTTTTAAGGCTTGCGTTAAAAGTAGATTATAAATATCTGCCTCCCATTCAACTTTTACTAATTCTATATGAGTTCTTAGGTTTTTATTTGTTGTGCTCTTGTATTGGTCTCCTTTTCCCTTGCTTCTTAGACTGCTCTCTTCACATCTGCTCCCAATCTGCTCGTTAGTCCTCCCTATGTTCAGTCCTCCATAAATACTTTCCTTGTGCAGTTCCTCAGTGCTGGTTCCCCGTCATACTTCGTCTTACTCTACCCTACCTTGTCTTACCCTGGCTCCTCGTGATTATTTTCCCCTGATGTCTCCATGGTTCTGGTTTGTGTTACATTTTAAGTTGCATTTTGGATTCCTGCCTCTGTAAAACTGTTTTCTCTAATTAAAACTGCAAGAAGTCACCTCCGCCTCTATGCCTCTGCATTTCGGCCCTCAAACCTCAACCTAACCCTGACAACTAGTAAACCTGCAGATTGAGAGTGAAGTGCTCTGTTTGGAACATTAGGTACACTCAGATGCTGCTTTTATTTTACTTCTAGTTCATAGTTTACTTTATGTAAAGAACTTTGAATTGTCTTTGTACTGTATTATGCTATATACATAAATGTGGCTTTTCTTGCTTTAGTAGGGTGTTACTTATTTGGAGTATCCATGATATCTTTGCATGACCAAGATCTAGGCCTTGTCATTAAACACATATTATAGGTGTAATTATTTAGCCTCTTGGCTACGCAGAGATTAGTGTGACTTGATTGGCATCAAGATTTTATCATTCCTTCTTTTCTATTAAAAAAACTGCCATTACAGAACAATTTTAAGAAAACTTTATGCAAGCAAATGAAAATGCTGGTGAAGTTTCTCAGTCTTCCAGGTCATAGTCATTCGAAAAAAATAAAAAAAACAACAAAAAACAATCCACTGGAGTTTGTTTCCAATTTTGAAGACGTTTCTCTTCCCATCAAGGAAGCTTTTTCAAACAAATTAAAAGTATTTCTATCTGAAACTGTGAAAATAGTAAATCCAAATGTTCTTCAAGTATATCCCTGTGTTGCTTCTTTATTAGAATTTAAACAAAGGTCCACATCCAAAATCTGCTTGAGGTAAACTTAAAAAAAGAATGAAATACAGAGCAAGGGCATAATAACTCATGACGGGATACACAACCTTTCTTTAGAATATTTATTAGATCTATTTGCTTTATGATATCCACCTTTTTCCTGTTCAAATAAAATCTGAGCTCCTAATTATTCTGACCCTGGCTACGACTTATGATTGATGGTGGAGCGATAAAACTTGGATTCATCATTGTCATGCTGTACAGCCTTCAAGGTACACTGACTAAGGACATGTTGCTGATCAACGTTTTATTGATGTTTTAGCTATAAAGATATGACAGCAGACATCAGTTATTAAAAACCTAGCATACAAATACCAAAAAAGTGATCTACGATTTATCTTTATTATAGTCCTTGATCTATGTGCCAAGATCTTGCTTTAACGACAACAACTGAGACCTTTTTTAATTTGATTTATGTTCCTCTGAAAAGTTTATTATTTCTCATTGTTCCTGGATTATTACAGCG